GTAGCGTTTCATAAGGAATGCATAGAATCTGGAAAACAAAATTGGGTTTAGGGAGATATAGCAAAAAAAGGTGCAATTTTTCTTAAGCATTATCTACTAACCCTCCTTTAGCTTGGTTGATTGGGAATGTTTCCATAGGACCTTTCGAATTGAATTCAGCGAGGATTCCTCGATGTCTACCGACTATCAAAGGACATGATGCATAACCGTCATACTGGAATAAGATAGCTTTCCTTCTTAGAAATTATAGTAATTTCCCCTTTATTACCTTCGCAGGCATTTCTTTTCCTTCCATTGCGGCTCCCAAGTTTTTTTCGATAGTCTTAAGGTGGCTGGACACTGCAGCGGCGGTCTTCGCATTGGGCGTATTCATACAATCACCGGCAGCGAAGACATTTGCAAAGTGTTTTGACTAAAAAGGAAACTTAAAAGCAAATATAACAAATTAAGTGTCAATGTTTGTTTAGTTGATATATTCCAAGTCTTATGTCGGTTGCGCAGAACTTTAAAATTTAGTGCTCTGAAAAAAGCTGAGTCTGTGCTCTTAAATTTTAAACCATAAGCATTTTTCTAATAGGAAAACTGCCAAAACTTGGTCCCAGTGTCCCTACCCTAAAAATCCACCCTTTAATTTCGTTAAAGAACGATCCTAGCGCAGTTTTTTTTTTTCATGAAATGATTGTTCACAGAATGCTTTCCACTCAGGCACTGCTGTACAATATGCTGAGATTGGCCCTAGTTTAAGAGGCAGTGTCCGGGCAAAGTTAATAATTTTGAAATCTCATCAGGTGAACATAGCCGATTTTATGACTAAGCTATCACTTCAGGCGAATTCGCTATGGTAAGCGAAAAAATGCGCTCCGATCGTTTGGGTCAGCCCACCCCCTTTTACGTCACTCAACCCACTCAATGGTTTTCGTCCGAGTTCTGCTTTCCTCAAAAGAAAGATCGCTTCGGGATCAAAAGTAAAAAAATAGTAGTTGCCCCTCTGCCATTCGTCCCTGTCATTCCAAAGTGGGTTAGAACTCACTGTTTTTATTTGAAATAGTTGTAC